AATTAAAGAAATTGATTCAAGACTTTGAGGTACAATTTTTTTTAATCCTGTCCATGAATAATCACAATTTTTTCTTGCATAATTCTTTGTAGCCCCCAATAACGCTCAATAAAATTGAGTTCACAGTGAAATTTTGGATAAAATATACACTTATGACCAGCTTTTTCAATAATTTCAGCAATTGCACCTTTTGAGCAAGAAAATCTGATTCTAAAGACATTACCCGACGTGCATAACAATTAATTTGATTTTTATCATCTTTTTTTTCTTTACACTCTTTACATTCTAATGACAATTCACTATTAGGCCATTTTCCTCGTTCTTGCAATATTTGTTTTAATCCTTTAGGCTGACCTCGAAGTTTTTCATTTGGATAATCATTAGGAAATACCATTGATTTAAATGATTATTAGGACTCCAATATGTATCATGCATTTTTGGTTGTAAACCACCAGAATTTAAGTTCATTCGCTTTGCTACTAATGCATTATTTGCAAATATTGCATGATTTGAGCTATTATCAAATGCAAAAACACCAATACAATTTGGATAAAGAATCTCAAATATAGGAATGACTTTAGTCTTTATTTGTTCAAGAACATTTTCTGCTGTCCAATAACCTTCACGATCTTTGCCTGGTTCTAAATATTCACGTGCTTCTGCTGGAACTGTAGGATATTATTCAATATCTGCTGGTTTTAATTTCAAACGCCCATCAACTTCTGTTAAAAACTCACTAACCATAATTGATTTGCTGTTACCTTTTTTTCGTAAAGGTAATTCACCATTTTTAGCCCAAATACCACGTTGTCTATCATTAAAATAAAAAATACATTCATCATGTGTTACTAAAATATGTTCTTTTTCACCTTCTGCTAAATTAGGTAAAATCCGATTCATATTTTCACCTTCATAATGTTACATAAATTTTTCATACTCAAAAATTTGGTTTAAAAATTTATTTCTATATTGAACTACATCTACGCGTTCATACCCATCATAATATATGCCTTATTTTTGTCTTTGTTTTGTATATCTAAGAATATGAAGCCAACGGGTTGCAGTTGCAATATTAATAGTTTTTTTCTTATTAATTCTTAATTTAACTAATAAATTTTATTCTATAAATTCTTTAAATTTTGCAGGTGTAACTTTAAAATTTTGATCACGAATCTATGCATGACATTTTTCAGCAACATCTTTATCATCAATTAGTCAGATAGTTTTTTGATGCTTTCCCTGATATGATATAGAAAGTGTATTATAAAGAAGCCAATATTTAGCCTAATATCGTATTTGCCGAGCTTTCCAAACTCCACTATCTAAAAAAATTGTTAGTGCAACTTTTAGACTTGCTGCCATTTTACCACCACCATTTTTGTTTAATTGTTTTAAATATTCAAAAATTGCTCATTTTTTATTATATTCATTAGCTTTCATTTTATTATGCTGCCTTTCTAATTCTCTTTTTAAAGTTTCTAACTTTATATCAATATTGTTTGCTTCATACCAACATTTCTTCTCCTCCAATTCACTATATATTTCATCTTCATTTTCACTATTAAAATCTGAGGTGTCAGTATTAAGTTGAGTTTCAGATTTTAAAAAAAAATCCGTAATTTTTGAAGTATCACTTGTTGATTTGGTAAATGAACCATTTGGCCCTCACTTATCATAATATGTTGATTTTGGTGTTTTACCAGTTTTATATAATCCCCGCTTTTTTTTTCAAATTTATTATTTATATCCCATTCTAAAATATAATAAAAGAAATAAATAATAAAGAAAACATTAAATTACTGAAGATTAAATAAAAGAATAATTACCTAACAATACCGTCATTAATTTCGATTGAATTTCTTTATCCTCTTCTAAATTAATCTCATCTTCCCATCTACTATCATCATCATCACCCCATCCTTCTTCTATATAACCAGCAACATCTAATTCAACGTCATTACTAACCTCTTCATTATCATTGGTATTAATAGGAACCTGAAAATTGTTGTTATTTATTGGTTTTTTTGGCCCAAATCTGCCATCTGTTACCCGAAGCTGCTGTTTGTAGAGTTTTTTTTGTTTTTTTACTTGCGGCATACTTAATTTAGTTGAAGCAATTAAAAACAAATATATGTATTCGATGTGTTCAATAAATCAAATCAAAAAAAAAACAGAATTAAAAAAAAAATTTGATTTTTTTTTATCATTGATCATAGATTTTGATTTATGAAGCACATGATTTATCACGTGAAATAAGAATCGTTTATTGGTTAGATAATTTTAGATCATTCCGAATTTATGGCATTTATTAATAAAACTTCGGGATTTTATTCATTAATAACTCAGCCAAAAATTATGCTACCTAAAATATAAAC